AATTATTGCAAAGAAATTTAGAATTAGCCCAATTCACCCCCTTTTGGGCATCTTGATCCTTTCACAAGTTGGTACGCCAAATGTTTCACATCTCCCAAACTTCAACTGTCACTGCCTATGTTGAAAGCTTCTCCACACTTTTTGATCAGCTCAAAGCATACCAACCCAATCCTGATATGCACTATTTCACCACTCGATTCGTGGATGGATTACGGGATGACATTAGGATGGTCGTTACTTTATAATGTCCTTCTACACTTGATACTACATATTCATTGGCTTTGTTGCAGGAAGAAATCGCTGCATCTGTGCTGAAGACTGACAACACTAGGCCAGGATTCAGGCCTTATCACAAGCCGGCAATTACAATGCCCAAGCCAAATGCAGCTGACAAAACGTTACCTAAAAAGACCTCACTCAAGAGCTCTGATGACAAGCTATCTACCCTTCGAGCCTATCGTCGTGCTAGAGGCTTATGTGAAGTCTGTGCTAAAAAATGGATGAGGGGGCCACAAATGTGCAGCTACTATGTCATTGCAAGCGATGTAGGAAGTGTGGGATTTCTTCAGCATTGAGCAATCTACTGATGATGTTGAAGATTCTGATGCGTAGTTAATGCTGGCCTTGTCTCATGAAGCCAGGATGGGTTCACATAGCCACCGCACCATTCGGTTCCATGGTATTATTTAGGGCCTTCCTATTGTCGTACTGTTAGACTCAGGGGCTCTTCTTCATTTTTGGCTGCTTCAATTGATGACCAATTACCTCAGTTGTGTCGGGTACCTCGAAGGCCACTGTGAAGATCGCTAATGGGCAACTGATGGGATGCACCTAGTAATCCGAGACTGTCAGTTTACTTTGCAGGGTCATTCTTTTGTACATGATCTGCGCATTCTTCAACTAGATTCTTATGACTTGATATTGGGTATGGATTGGCTTGAGCGGTTTAGCCCTATGGAAATCCATTGGAAGGATAAGTGGATTACTCTATCCTATGATGGTCACCAGTTAGTCCTTCATGGGTTATCTACCACAGAAGCACCTGAGATGGTTTTCCAACTCTTTTCTGTGGAGATTCGATCTTCTTCGATGATGGTCACAGATTAGATGCCTTTCCATCGGTGGTTGCACGATATAGTGCCTCTGTGACCATGCCATACCTCCGATCACCGGTCAATATGGCTTTTCCAACCTCAATTAAAAGATGAAATTTTGCAAACAATCTTTGATTAATTAGCCGATTCATCTTCGTTTCTTCTCCGGTGTTGGGCGTAAGAAAGATGGTTCGTGGTGTTTTTGTGTTGACTATCGTTATTGTAACACCGACCGTGGCTTAATAGGATTAATAGATTCTAGAGTTACAACTTTTTCCAGCCCATCTCTTAAAACTCCAAGGTTAAGCGTGCTTGCATAGGTGATGGCCACCGAAAAGTTCTTCGTGACATGATGAGGACATAGAGAAAAGACTGGTGTTGGATCTGTGAGGCGATCTTTGTCCTAGAAAGCACGGATGTAAGCGGGCCTAGCCTAGGAGGCGGGACATTCTGAGAACGGTATCGAGCCACCTACGGTTTAAAAGATGAAATTGATAGTGCGCATGGCTGGTGTGGAAGTGGTCACCAAACAATGCGCTGAACATCTGGACGTGGCAAGAGGGGACGTTCTGGCTTTGGGGTTAATTCTAAAGCCCAGCTCGAGGTTTAATAGGATTAATAGGATACTCATCTCATAAGTTGTAACTTCTTTTACGGAATCATCTCTTAAAAACTCTAAGGTTAAGCTTGCTTGGCAGAGTGATGGGTGAAGATCGGGAAGTTCTTCCCGAGGCGCATGAGTGAGGACAAAGTTTTGAAAAAACCTGGTGTTGTTGACTATCTTTGTCTCAAGCTGCAGATTAATAGCCTCAAGATTATCTCAATGCATTAATGTCAATCCCATATCGATTTGTATTTGATTAGTTAGTGGATGAGCTTGGACAAGCAAAATGGTTCTCCATATTAGACCTATATTTCGGTTATCATCAAATCCATTTACAACCAGGCGAAGAGCATAAGACTGCCTTCTCCACTCATGCGGGACATTATGAATTCACAGTGGTTCCCTTCGGTCTTTCTGGTGCACCGGGAACTTTTCAAGGCGCCATGAATGGTACTCGCAGCCCTCTGCTTCGCAAATGTGTGATTGTATTCTTTGATGACATTCTCGTATATAGTTCATCCTATGAAGATCATCTGAGCCACTTGCAGCAAGTGCTTACTTTGCTAGCTAAAGATCACTGGGTTGTTAAACTTAAGAAGTGCCACTTTGCGAAGCAAGAGATACATTACTTTGGACACGTTCTGAAGGATGGTGGCGTTCATACTGACCCTGCCAAAGTCACAGTAGTACAAGAGTGGCCACAACCATCAAATGTCCACGAGCTTCATGGATTTCTAGGCCTCGTCGGGTTCTACAGGAAATTTATGAGGAATTTCGCAGTGATTGCCAAGCCCCTTACCAACTTGCTCAAGAAACATACCATATATGTCTGGACATCAGAGCATCAACTGTCTTTCGATACACCGAAGCAAGCTCTCTGTTTTGCTCATGTTCTCGGGATTCCTGATTTTTCCCAAGTCTTCACTATTAAAACTGACGCATGTCAAATGGGTGTCGGAGCTGTACTTTTGTAGAATGGCCATCCACTCGCTTATGTTAGTAAGCCGTTGGGCACCAAGAATCAAGGTCTTTCAACATATGAAAAAGAGTATGTAGCCATATTAATCGCAGTCGATCAGTGGCGGTCTTACCTACAATTGGCCGAGTTCATCATTTACACTGATCAAAAGGCTTTAATTCATCTTAATGATCAGCGGCTACACACAGTTTGGCAACAACATGTGTTCACCAAATTACTGGGGTTACCGTACCGCATTGTGTACAAGAAGGGAACAGAGAATAGTGCTGCCGATTCCTTGTCTCACAGAGTCCATCATCAGGAAACTTGTTGTGCCATATCTGTGCTCACACTTGAGTGGTCTACTGGCATTATTGTGGGCTATCAGTGCGATACACAAGCCACGGCCTTGCTTACCAAATTGGCATTCTCTCCTAATGCAGTTCCCAACTTCACAGTGGACAAGGGGCTCCTCAAGTGCAAGAACCGCATGTGGGTTGGCAATAACGTTGCGTTACAACGCCGATTGATTCAGGCTCTACACAGTTCCCCGGTAGGAGGCCATTCTGGCGTTCCAGCTACTGTAAAGCGTATTCAGTCGTTCTTCGCCTGGCCAGGTATGAAGAATCATATCACTGACTTTGTCTAGAGCTACCCGACATGTCAACAAGCTAAATCGGAGCGAGTTAAATACCCAGGTTTGTTGCAACCCCTGAAAACTCCTTCTACTGCTTGGCAAGTTATATCCTTGGATTTTGTGGAAGGCTTACCACCATCTCGTGGATACAACTGCATTATGGTTGTGGTTGACTTATTTTCCAAATACAGTCATTTTGTGGCATTGAGGCATCCATTTACAGCATTGTCTGTAGCCAAGCAGTTCATGCAGCACATATATCGCCTCCATGGTCTACCTCAAGCTTTGGTGTCAGCCCAAGATCGGATTTTTACCAGTAAATTCTGGCGTGAGTTGTTTCGCTTAGCAGGCGTGGATTTGCGGATCAGTTCAGCATACCACTCGCAATCGGATGGGCAAACGGAGCGTGTCAATCAGTGTATGGAGACTTTCCTCGCTATTTTGCCAATGCAACTCCGGGCAAATGGTTTGACTGGCTTCACCTCATGGAGTTTTGGTACAACACGACATGAAATTCAACGCTCAACCACTCGTCGTTTGAGGCTCTGTATGGACAGTCAGCCAGACAATTGGGCATTGATTCCTCTTCAGCTTGTTCAGTGGACGCTCTAGATGATTGGCTGCAACAGAAATCGGCAATGTAGTCTTTGATTCATCATCAGTTGGGTCGTGCCAAAAACCGTATGAAGACTCAAACTGACAAGAGTCGTACTGAACGTTTCTTTTCAATCATCGACAAAATCGGATCAGTGACCTACAAGCTGAAGTTACCGGATTCTTCATCTATACATCTGGTGTTCCATGTATCCCAATTGAAGCTAGCTGTGCCGAAACACGTCGCCAAGGTCGGCACTGATGTTCGTCTTCAAGCTCTCATCAAGTGGTCGGGCATGCCGTCGACTATGACAACCTCGGAAGATATGGAGACTCTACGTTAGCACTTTCCTCGAGCACCTACGGGGCAAGCAGGTCCTTATCAGGGAGGGGATGCTAGCAACCGTGCTATTGCAGCCACAAGTCTGAAGGAGATCATGATCGACGATAGCCAGCATGAAGATGACGAGCACATTCAGACAGAGCTTGGGCCGCATTCGAGGAAGGCGTGAAAGCAGGCCCAACAATCATGTCCATGGGCCCGAGTGGGAGTGAGCACAACAGCCAGCAAGGAGCCATGTGCATCTGGTATATGTAACCCGAGAGGAAGAGAGGAGAGGATAACAAAAATTATGAATAAATTATTATAGGATAACAAAAATATTGTAGGATAACAAAAATTATGAATAAATTATTGTAGGATAACAAAAATTATGAATAAATTATTGTAGGATAACAAAAATTATGAATAAATTATTGTAGGATAACAAAAATTATGAATAAATAACAAAAATTATGAATACATTATTGTAGGATAACAAAAATTATGAATAAATAACAAAAATTATGAATAAATAACAAAAATTATAAATAAATTATTGTAGGATAACAAAAATTATGAATAAATTATTGTAACCCAAGCGCTCTTCCCCTATCACTAGTAACTCATCCTTCGCCCGATTCGTGCTTGTTCCTCTTGATTGCTATTCTTCCTCCCTTCCGCTGCCTGCTTACACTCGCTCGGTCACGGCGTCTCGTCTTTAAGCCCTCGCCTCAGCGTCGTGCCGTCGGTGACAGGCTGACACTGACCGCCCCCGCCCACGCCTGCCTGCAATGGCGAGGCCGTCGCGCCAAAACCCGACCCATGCCTCCGTCACATCCCTGCGCGGCTTCGGGGGACGCTCGCCGCGCCGCTGCCGCTGCCGCCTTCGCACGCGTCTGCAGCTTTACGGCGAGTGGCGGCGGCGCTCCTCCTCGCGGCCGCAGTGGCGCTGCCCTGCGCCGTGCTTTACCGCGCCGCCGTGGAGAGTACGAAGCCCATCCATGTCCCGCGTGTGCACCGGCCCTTATTGCCTGCGCCGCCGCTTCCTCCGGTTCAGGTCCCCGAGGATGACGGCGACTTCGATCCCTTCCCCACCGGCGATCTGGTGGGGTTTGCCTCCTCTTTGTTACCTTTGTTAAATTTTATTCTATGTTTGACAGTATTCTAGTGATCTGAGTTATTCCTTGTGCTTGCTATAGGTGTTTTCATGCTTGCTGCTTATGCCCGAAATGCGCTCTCAATATTCCTAATCGTGCTAGTTTCGTACCTGAGACTGCAATTCCTGCATCCCTGAACCTGATATAGTGGTGTTTTGGTGGGTTCCCTTTAAGATCATGCAATGATTGCTGATAGGTTAACATATTTGAGATTTGTTGCCTCGTTGGACAAACTGGTCGTTTTTTATGATACTTGATTTTCTAAGCCTACTTCTCAGCTGAGTGGAATAAACAAGTACCAAGGGCTTGTCTTGTGTCATGTTGTCAAATTAAATACATGAGTGCATTTCTGGTGCACACTTGTGCATGATCTCTTATGCTCTGACCTAAAATAAGATCCTTTTGTTATGTCAGAAATAAACTTGATGTGGTTGTTACTCTTATGCTCCAGTCAAGCAGTTACTCCCAATTTTCGCCTCCTGATTGATATGATATCAAGTTCAGTCATGAGGCAGAGCTTGTAACTTGGTATCTCAATTCTCAATCAGCATAATTGTTGTTGTAGGACAGCGAAGATCTCAGACTAGAACTGGTTCTGCAGGAGGCTTCCATGGACAATAAGACCATAATACTGACGACCCTCAATGCTGCATGGGCTTCGCCAGGCTCAGTGATAGATCTTTTCATTGATAGTTTTCGGCGTGGTGTTGGTACTAGTTCGCTCTTGAGGCATCTTGTGATAGTAGCATTTGATTTGAAGGCGTATGAACAATGTGTCAAGATCCACCCCTACTGCTTTGCTCTTCCAACCAAGGATGTGGATTTTTCTCAAGAGAAGAGGTTTCAGACAACTGGGTATCTGGAAATGATGTGGAAAAGGCTGGATTTCTTGCGGCTAGTGCTTGAAAAAGGTTACAGCTTTGTTTTCTCGGTAAATTTATACCTTTACGTCCCTGCTGTTCTAATGCATTAGTTTTCAGCTTTTGAATTATTCAGTGTGAGTTTCTTATTGGTAGTTTTATCTGATATAAACTACTGCTTCCCCTCTGTATTTCAGGATGCTGATATCATGTGGTTCCGCAATCCATTTCCCCTGTTTTATAGTGATGGAGACTTTCAGATTGCATGTGATCACTACGTAGGGAATGCGACTGACTTGAGGAACATAGCCAATGGAGGATTCAACTATGTGAAGTCAAACGATCAAAGCATAGAGTTTTACAAGTTTTGGTATTCTTCCCGATTTAGATATCCTGGGTACCATGATCAGGATGTATTTAATTTTATAAAGCATGATCCTTACACCACAGACATTGGTCTGACAATTAAGTTCTTAAGTACTACGTACTTCGGCGGCATTTGTGAGCCAAGCAGAGATTTAAACAAGGTTTGCACCATGCATGCGAACTGTTGTATTGGACTGCAGAGCAAGATCCATGACCTAAGAATCATGATGGAAGACTGGAGTAGCTATATGTCGATGCCACCAAGCTTAAAACAATTCAGGCCATTGTCATGGAGGGTACCGCAAAATTGCAGGTATGATGCCTCCATGGATTTGAGTGTGAATATTTTTTTTAAAGATCCGGTGAACCCCGGCTTATATTACTAAGGAGTAGAAAATTACGAAGACATGCTAGACTCTGAATATTCTTTCAACCAAAATCATTTTGTGATTCAATGAAGTACAGCTTGTCTTGTGTCAATTTTGTTTCTTGTGATGGCACTCTGATCACACTTGAATTTATTTGCAGTCTTTCGTTACTAAGCCCATGAGGATTGTACAGTGGAAGAAGACAAGCATTTCAATACTGCAAAACATGTCAACTTTTGAACATGTGTTTTTGAAAACAAACACTTCAAAGGTTGGTTTTCTTGCTTACTATCCCATTCCTTCTGTTTCATGTATAGTATGCTGTTGGTCGAAATCAACATTTCCTTGTGTAGGTATGAACTTACAGTCTTAAACTTTGGATTCTGTAGAAGGTTAAAGTGTTAACCATGAGGGACACTGAAAGAGAATGAAAATCTATGCCACATACTAGTTTAACTGCTTGAAACAATTGGAGAGCATGATTATGATTTATAAGATTCTTTGATTGGATTTATTTAAGCATGCTTTAAGTGGTGCACATAATTAAGAATGATATTGTTTTTCCAAACAGTGTGGTCATGGAGAAAGGTAAACCTGATGTTCACCTGATGTGTCTTTGGTTCATATTGCAACAGTGTAATAGTACTCGAAATCATGCCTTACTCCACCCTAATGGGAATATTCTATAAATATTTGACTCCCATAATATAAAACAGAGGCAGAACCCTTGCCATTATTTTTATTTTTTACAAAGACCTTAGGATCTTTAGTCTACAAAATAAATAGTTAGTTTAAATTGCATGTACACTGTCAATTGGCTAGTAGCTTACAGACAAATATTTCTCTTTCAGGAACAGATGGTGCGTAATCAAACATCAAGTATCAACTCTGCGAATTCGATGCCGTTAACCAATGCTGCCAATTATGTGCCATTATCTACATGGATCAGCAGCCACTCATGCGTTGTTTGAAAAGGGTTGCAAGGTTTCAGACTTTGGGGTCAAGGGTACCTAGGGAGGAACCAGCTCAGAGGACTTGTCTGCAGAACTAGGAGGATTTCACTCAGAGGACTTGATCTCAATACCCCCAGGTTCTTCAGGAAGTGACACTGTCATCACATAGGGAGTAGGGACCAGATAAATCCTCCAAAGACATGCATGTTTTATGCCTTCTCTGGAATCTGAAACCATATTTCAGGATCGATTCTGATGGCCTCAGCGCAATCTCAGCAGAGGAAAAGGGCAACTCTTCGCATTTGGTCTTGATCAGGATATCAGGTCTCCCATAGTAGTTCTTCAATGAAGTGCTCCCCACTTATTAGGGCCGTCAACACCGTCTTGGTAACGGGCCTTTCTACGGGGACGACTCGTACTTGTGTCAACCCTTGCAAAACCAGCAATAATCCCCTTCTCCTCCTCAGTGGTCAAGTGATCAGGCATTCCCTCCCTCTCCCTGTTGCTTAGCCTTTGCCTGGATGACTCCCTTGTACCATCCACTCGTGATCCATCCTCCAACCCTTCTATGTGAAATCCTGCTAGCTCTGCAGACATCCACGACTGGAGACTTGGTATTCTCCATCAGACACATGCCTCTCCCACTGAAATTTCTTCAATGCACTCTCCCCTCTGCTTCTAGCTCATCTGAAACCAAACTCGTAAAATCTCAGGTCTTCGATGATATCAACATTGATGTACAAAACGTACTCCCTCGCTCTTTTGAACCCCCTGTGCCTCTTGTGTGAGGGAACTTCAATATCAAATTGTCCACCCTCGGATGGCTCAGTATCTGTAGATACACTTGAGAGGGATTTTGTTTGGGTTCTTCACTTAAGCGCCCACTTTGAATACAACAAAGGACCAACAACTCCTAGTAATGTCATCGACACAGTGGACAACAGGCAGGGTCAGGAAGACCCCAACAGGAAGACTCCTGGTTCTGGTGGCTAGAGGTAGCTGGCACAGTTCTTGGCTTGGGTTTCAGAGTCTTCCAAACAATGTGTTCATGGAGAAAGGTAACCTGGTGAAGCATTATGTCCACCTGATGTTCTTCTGTTGATATCAGAACAGTGTAATAGGATTGGAAATTGTCCCTTATTCTATACTAATGTGGGATATTATATTACATAAATATTGGACTTCCCTAGTCTAAAGCAGAGGCGCAACCATTGCCATTATTTTTCTTTTTTGCAAAGACCTTAGGATCTTTATTCTACAAAATAAATAGTTGGTTTAAATTGCCTGGATACACTGTCAATTGGCTAGCTTATGGGAAAATATGTTTTCTTTCAGGAAAAGCTGGTTAGTATCAACTCTGCCAATTCGATACCATTAGCTAACGCTGTGTCTCTCATCGTTGGAAAATCAGCTGTGGATAGAACGGTCCTCTCTCCTGTATTATTTGAAGTTCTCAACGTTTTGGTTCTAAAAGGATTCGTCTCGAATTGCAGGCATACATATTTGAATCTTTCAAATTGCATCGAGTGTAGATGATTTATCTATATAGTAACAACGCAAGAGGCAAGTTGCGCAACAAAAGTGAAAGCTTTTAAAGGGGAAGCTGAGCATGGGACAAGCGAGTGCGAGTGGTCACCTGCTATTGCAAATTGGCATGCAGAAAGACTGTTGCAGTCCTCTGGGCCCATTTTCCAGGTGACGAGTGATTTCTCGTCTTGATGCTCTGAAAATTGCATACGTGAAGCGTAGTTGCTCTTTGGGCACAGTCGTGCTACTGTTCTCAGTTTGGGCATTACTTTTTTTTTTCTAACAATTTACTCAAGGTATGATGAGAATCAAAAGAACCAAATCTGAACGGTAAGTTAAACTAAATCCAGAGTGGCAAACACAAAAACTTAGTCTTTTCTGGCAGGGTGTTACAGAGAATTATGAATTCAGCTAATCGATGTCGGCTATAAAAAGAAACAGCTAATCGACTTCCCAGTCAGGCTTGCTGATTCAGCAACTAACGAATCCAGTGGGCGAACCTGAATTGCTATCACCTTTGTTCAGGGTGATCGTCTCCTAGATATTTCTGCCATTTCCACCAGAACACTGCAGTCGGTAGGGTTGCTGTTCAGATGGCTACGAAAAGATAAAAATCGCCCGCTCATGCCACCCACTTAAGCCAACCTTATCTTATCATAAAAACCAGTGTCTTTATCATAGAAGAGGCCCTTTCACGCTTTGCCAGTCCGGATCATATCGGATTTAAAGTTGGGCCCCATTTGAATCTATTCATATATAGCTGGGACATGGACACAACATGCTTCTCTTCAAAATCCAAACACCTTCTGTAAACCAAATCAAACATGTTCAAATTCTATGACCCGGCTAAATCTGGACATTTCTTTCTTTCCCCCCCTTTATTTACGATTTTTAGTGGTGTTTGGCAACTGAACCAAGAAAAAACACTACGAGTACCCTTGATGTCTGCAGTGATCCTGTGAAGCCCAGTAGCGTGTTGATGTCTGTGGAGAAGCCACGTCGGCAGTCCCCGTTCTGAGCTCGTGCCATTCCACAGTTGTTTTTCTGATACGCAAGGCCGCGACGTGGTAACGAAAAGCGGCGTGCTGTCGAGATCAGCGTACAACGTAACGTGCGCGCAGGCTGCCCCGTTCCCATCGCATAGATCCATCTTTGTGGATATATATGATGACATGTCCATGCTACGATTCGCACGGCCCGGTCGTGATCCAAGGCCAGGAGAAAGCAGCAAAGGCGTCGTTAACATGAGGTACCAGCAGCAACACCGTCTCAATTGGATTCCGAAGGTAATGGAATGGCTGTGCCGCTTGTGCGTCTCACACTCCCACCCACCTTTGGACCATGAGACCCCCTTTTGTTAAAGAGCAAAAGGGGCCTGGCCGTTCATCCTTGATACAGACGGTTCCGGGCAAGGGGGCGTTCATCTTTTTTTCTTAGAGAAAGAAGAAGAGCCTGGAGTGATCGTCACTTGCACCTGGTCCTTGCGATTTCGGATGCCACCCGTTTCCTTATTGTTCCGTCAGTCGAAATGAATGAATTCTGCTGCCCGGAGAGACGTCGCCCAAAATTCTCCCGTTCCGAGTTCGAGGGAACGAGAAAAGTCGCCATTGTTTTCGATGATTAGGTTTAGTAGCGCCAACCCGTCTCTGCCTTGCAGCTGCAGACGGGAGGTTGAGACGTACGTACGTGATAGCCTCGCGCTTGAACAGGGCACGAAGACCGTTCCGGCCGGCGGACTGAAAGGTCGCCGCGGCTCTGACCGCTTTGAGCAAAAGCAGGCAGGAAAGACGAGGCCACGGAACATGCGGATTCAGGCCGAAAAGGCGACGTCCCCGAACCACCCTACCGCCTCGTCTCGACTGATCACCACACGCGAGCACTCCCGCGCGAGAGTAGACCCACATGTACGCCGTCCCGGCCACCAGTGCGCTTGCCGCTGCGGTCGTACTCGTACCCGCCCGCGGCCTGCCCTGCCCTGCCCTGCCGGCCGTCAGTTGCATCGCACAGGCAGCAGCATTACCGCCGGGGCATGTGATCCGCATGTGCCGCGCGGGAAAGGTTCCCGGGCGGCTCCATCCATGTGCGGACCGCGCGTAGTGGAGGCCGCTTTGCCTCGCCACTACGCTCGCTCCCTCGACCGGTAGTGCCGCGGCGTCGCGGGAGGAGGTCGGGTCGCCTAACCCGGAAAAAGGCGGGTTCCATTTCCATCCCTGGCCGAGCCCGTCTCTCCGGTAAACTAAGTCCTCGGAGAGCAGGAGCACACGGCCGTCCATCCCTGGCCGTCCCCGGATGTGCGCATGTCACCGCGCACTACTTCACTTGTTTGCTGCCGCTGCACACGCGCCACGCGTCGGCGGCGTTCACGGGCAGATGCAGATCATCATCGGTTTTGGCAGCTGCCGGCGTTCCTGGCGCGGTAAGGCCAGCAGCAAATCGCGCGCAATTCCGCAATTGTTTACCGGCGTCACGGAAACGGCAATCCCGCGCGCGGCGAGTGCCGAGGCGCCGGCCGCTTTCGGAGCGCATTGGTGCCGCGCGTGCGGTTTGGAGGCCCCGGCTGTGCGCCGACCACGCGCGGCGACGTACTACGACGAATCTAAAGAACGGCCGTGAGGAGGTCTCGGCGCGGGCGCGGGCTCCAAATGGACGTGACCACCGCCGTCCGCGCGCCGGTAGGTCAGTCAGTGGAACAGCACATGCGGGCTATGGCCGAGTGACAAGGTAGCGGGAGGAGACCGAAAGTGTCTGTAGTACCCGCATTTGGCCAAGTGCGGCGAGTGTGGTTCCGCGGAACGCCATCCGTCCCTTGCTCGCAAACGCTTCTTTTTTTTTTCTGCCGGATCTGTTTCACGGTCGAGACGGCTAGTGTATGTCAGTAGCACGTACCTTGATTTAATTTAGATCTTGCTCGCGGTCACGGCGGCGCTGACATTTATCTTTTCCCTCCATAAAAAGGTGCAGCTAACCAATATGTTGTATGTTAAGATAAGAATCGATTTCATTTCGTTTGGGTTTTAGGGAGAGCAATTGGTGGAGAAGGCAAAGACACCGTGTCAAGAATGAGGGGTAACGATCGACGGTGACAATGGATTGATGCAGCAGTGAAAAATGGCGGCGGCGACGGCAGGCGAGTAACTAGAGAGGAAGGACAAGAGGGCTGATGCATGGTGGTGTGCTGCTGAAGAAAACGATAGAGGAAGCAAGGGGCACGACGCTAGCAGTGCCGCCGGACAGCAGAGAGAGTGTGAATGATTTGTGCAAAATCGTTGGATGCACAGCCTTGCTGCACACGGCCACCCACATTAGCTTCTTCTTTCTGCGGCTCCGATTGCTTTCGATTGATGATTGGACGGTTCAGAACAAAACTGGTGTGTTCAGCCTACCATGGAAGTCCAACCGAGAAAGCCATGCCAGCATTAGGAATTTGGGATTACGATGGCAAGGCACGCAGAAAGTTAGGACAATAGGGAGGGTTCCGGAGAAGCGAACCAAGGACGAGCTGTGCTAGGGCTTGGTTCGTGGCTTCTAAAGACTAAAATTAGGCAATGGGGTAGGAATTTTTTATAGTTGGATGAAAATTCAAGCTCATATATATTATTGAAAGAAACATGTTTGTGATTTTTCCTAGAATTTTCAAAGGATTACAAGTCACCTCACCCCAAAGTCTTTCACTAGTTATAGATGGCTAAAAGAAGTACTGAAAGAGAGCATTGCGAGTGCCAAATTAAGCTGTCACTACAACGGTGAACGGCTATTTAAACCAAAAGGAACCCCAGGCGAACGTGCCCGTAGCGCGGTGGCAACGTCTCCGGTTGCGGAGCGTGCCCACGCATGTTCGATTCCCAGTTGGGATGAACGGGTGTCGCATGTGGTTTTTTCCCATATGTGTTTCGTGCAGGTCCTGGACATTCGCGTGGCGCTATAATGGGACTACGACGTGTCCATCGTCTACGAGTCTCGTGTGGCTTCGGTGATCTCCAGAAGGACTTGTACACTAAAAGTCTAGGCTTAAAAAAAAAAGAAGGAACCCCCAGCTTTTAGCTTCAACCACTACACATTCGATCCACTGACATGCTGTGAGCCCTCTGTTTCTTTTCTGCTGTTAGTCCAAAATCCAAAGACCACAAAAGTCACCCATAAACTACATCCAGGCGCCTGGCGCCAAGCGCTCGCGCTCTATAAAAGGGCAGCCAAACCAACCCCTTCAACACACTTCTCACGCCGCCTGCCCAGAGCCTCCCGCCTCCGCATCAGCCAACGACAGCGGCGCGCACACAGCACTCGCGCCGCCATCTCAGCCAGTGCACTGCAAACCCATGGCGAGGATACTCGTCGAAGCGCCCGCGGGCTCGGGCTCGCCGGAGGACTCCATCAACTCGGACATGATCCTCATCCTCGCCGGCCTGCTCTGCGCGCTCGTCTGCGTCCTCGGCCTGGGGCTCGTCGCCCGGTGCGCGTGCTCGCGG